AGGGTTATAAGGGTGGAGCAGGGAGAGGCTGGCTACAAGTACTAGTCTTGTATGACTGAGACAGTGCTTCCATGCCTTTCCTGCCCTGTGCACTTGTCCGCTAGCACAAAACAAAAAAAAAAGTCCCCCAAAACGACAAAAGTGAAAGAACACATTTAAAACTATTAAAAGAAACTCAAAAATGACGACACACACGCACACAGTTAGTGGCTCACTCACCTGCAGGTCAAAGAACTTGCTGTAGCGTCTGTAAATGGCTTCTGTACTGCCATCGCTCCAGGACACTTTGATGATGTAAACCTGGCAAAGCAAAATAAAGGAAAATAACATTGAAACTAATGCACAGCTATTATTGTGAAAAACTAAAGCCCTTGGGGCATCACTCTTCAGTCACTACCATTATTTGGGAGTGTTATGAATCCTAGAGAGGGCTGCATATAGCAGACATCCCATTTCTCTGGCAGCATCACGCAGCTGTCACTGAGTGGTTTTCATTACTGTAACATATGCTTCCCCACATCCCACTGCCTCCAGCGACCCAAGAATTGCTCTCCGGTCCCTTAAATGCACCTCAAGGAGATAAAGAAAGAGGAGGCTTTCAGAGAAACCTTGCAAAAGGAAACACAGGTGCATCCTACACAGAAGTCTCCAGTCTTGTGTCGTGACATTTAAATGCCACACTTCCATCCATTATGAGCAAATTGCTCCACTTAAAACACCCTGAAACCACCAACTTCTCCTTTCCTCCATCACATCTACCACATGCCATAGCTGGGAGGAGCTAAGACAGACTTGAGTGCGGGAAGTCAGGAGTCATGCTAATGAAAAGCCCCCAATGTCATCATCCGTTCACATGAAAAGAACAAGGATATCAGATGATTTCACTTCCTAGTGCAGTTACATCACTTCCTGCTGTAGAAAACATAATTGTTTGTCATAATTGTATACATGCAGAAGAGTGAAATAATAATAATAATAATCATAAAAAACCCACAAAGTTTGTGCTACCTTTCTAACATGGGCAGCACTAGGTTAGATAAAAAGAGGTTGACTGTGTAGGTGCAGCTGCAACTTCAATCAGACATATATCTAAAACAGTAAATCATAATGCACTTTAAATAATGTCAAGAGTTTGGGGACAGCAGCAGATTTTGATTTGGTTCTTTAAAGAATGAAAGGGGAGACGCAGGGAGGTGATTGGAAACACCCTTGCGGCTTGCTGTGTTTGGCTAAATGCTGCTGGCCCCAATCCCAGACCCTTTCAGGCCTCATTCTCTTTTTTCGGTGGACTCGAATCCGATATTACGATGGACTGATCAACTACGGGAGCTATACAGACAAGCAGCAAGGCCATCTTCATTAAACAAAAGAAGATTCCCCAAAAAGACTAGTTCAGGTTCTGTCTGACCAACTACTAGAATTAAATTACTCATCAATGAGAAGAAAAACTAATCAGTGCAAAGATATCCTGTTGTGTCCTTGCTGCAGATAAAACTAATTAAGAAATATTTGTTATCCAAACTAATTTGCAACAACTCATAGGAAACAGGAGCTGATACAAAAAAACATAACTAACCCTCCTAATTAAAGTTCCAAGTTCAAAAAAAAAAACTTCAGCCATTAGATATTTGCAGATATCTCTTAAGAATTAGAGCTTTGTGTTAGAAATTCTATAGGATATACTGAACTCTGGTGAGCAGACAAGCCTTACGCAGCTTTTTGCTATTCAAGCTACATGTTCAGACCTGAGACTTTAAATTTCCCGGAACCTTGAGATCTGTGTAAGAGAGAAAAGGCATAAAATAACAGTACACCAGAGACTGAACGAACAGATGGAGAAGACACAGGACCACAAGAACTCTGCGCCCTTGACCACTAACACTCACAGCGGTACAAGGTCTGCTGGTCCTTCAGCCCCCGGTTTAAATTTGCACACCCATATGGATGCATACAAGTACACACACACACACAGTGACACAACATGTACACGGAACTAACACAAACACCTGCTAAGGCCTTGGCTGCGACTCTCTCTCTTTCTCTGGCCAACTACACCAAGTGATGTCATATGTGTGACTTTATACTAAGTGCAGGATTGCAGGCAAATACACCCACATTTAGCTCTCACTAGTCACTAATAAAAGCTCTACTGTCTATGAAAAAAAGAGGCTTTGTCCTGATGACATTCTCGTCTCCCACACAAGGTCTGGTTATTAAGAAAAGAAAATTATTCCCAAGTTCTTCGTCTTCTTTCCCTCCCTTTCGCCAACTGTTGACTGGAAAAGAAACACACAACTCTCTAAACTAAAAATATATATATTTTTAAAAATAGTAATAAAAAAAATGACAATATCTGACACAGTCATAGCCTACTTGTCATAGCCTACAATGTTAGTCATAGCCTACTTCCTGGTTACCAGTGGCAACTAGCCAGTGTGGATAGTTAGGGGACTGGGCTGACTGTATATTATGTTTCTTGGGCTCTTCCACCATTGCAGGCTTCAGTGGTAAGGTGCTGCAATGGCTACGGTCACATGCATGTGATTCTGGGAGTCACTTAAAAAAAAATGCACACTGAGAAAAGGGGTCATAGGTCACGTGAGTCGGCCACTCGAATGCTTCTTAATGATATCCTCACGTCTTTTTTAAATGAGCATTTTATTAGGTCAAAAACAATCTGAAAAACGATAACAACACAAGAGCTTTTGACTTTGGGTCACTGTACAGGTTGCTGAAATATAACAGCGTAAATCTTGATGTCGGTCGTTACTGGTCTTAAGAATAAAGATCCCAACAGATTTAAATAGTCTGAGCATGACCTGAAGTTTTCAGAAATCATATTCTAATAAAGTCTGCTTGACCGTTTCGGCTGATTTGGTCAGCTGTAATTTGACACTCTCTTTGTTTTTTACTTTTCCCAACAGGACAAAGGGGGAGACTGCGGAATATCCGCGATCTGTTGCACATTTCACGCAACAAATCACACGGTTGTGGTAATTACACAAAAGGCTTACGTAGTGTTTGTTCGGATTCCTCCGCTTCTGGACATCTTGAACAGTTACTTCTTGCACGGTGCGCCGTGGCATGATGTCCCCTTCTTTTTACGGATCCGTTGAAAAAAAAGCAGATATCCCTGTCGGGTTTTTTTTCGAGCGATCACACCCGGCTGAAAAAGTTTACACTGCGACGCTTCTTTGTCATCCGAATGGCTGGGATCGATCTGAACAAACGCCTTTTTTTCTCCCCGTAAAGCTGCCCACGTCAAAATTTCCTGTCCAACATTCAGACTCTCGCAAGCCAGAAGTTAATAATCGGTTCTTCCTTTCCCCCCCCTTTCTCATGCCTTGTCCCGACCCGCTGACTGCCCCGACCAAACTCCCAGCCTATCCCAGCTCGCCTACTCCCATTTCAGCAACTGGGACGCTTCGTGGACCAACCCTCCAGCTTCAGAGCAAAACCACAGTCTGCAGGAACACTCGGGCTTCAGTCTGCACACTTAGAGCTAGATGTTAGGCTTTAATCAATATGACAGCACTCAAAAACTGCGTGCTCAAGAGCACTTAAGGAGAGCGAACTTTGCCCATTTCTCACTAAATTGGAATTCTATTTATTTCAATTCTCTGTCGCAACTTTGAATGTTCGCCTTCTTTGCGACCAACCGCTCTCCATTAGCAATATAATAACACTGATGCAATTTAAATGACAGTTAAGAGTGGATGTTGTCTCACTGTGCGTACAGCTGAGCTGCAGATGTCTGAATCAGATGGCTTGAGTCTGAGCTTACTTTTCAACTCATATGCTAACTACAAACTACAGAGGACATCGTTCAGATATACAGTGCTGTGCAAAAGTCTTGAGTCAATCATCAAAGAGATAGGCACTCTTGGGATGAACCAGTGCTGTCTATATATAACACTAAACTTAGCAACCCCCCTTAAATTGTATTTTTAAGACACTTAGTTACTAGCAAAACATAATTTTCTTCCATTTCTTTAGTTAAATCTCTGAAAATTGCCAAAGATAACACAAAATTGAAGTGTTAGGCCTAGAAATATCTAGACTTGAGTGTCTGAAAGTTATGTCTTTAGGAAACAGGGGGGAAAAAAGAAAGAAATCCATAAAAGACCTGACACAGGTCGTGGGAAATCCATCCGGCCCTCACTTGATACATCTACTGTCTGCAGAGGTCTCACAAGAAATGATCTCAGTGGAAGGGTGAGAAAGAGCACCGGGGGAGAAAAGGCTGAGGGATGCCAAATAACACAAGAATTACTCTGAAAACCAGTGGTAGCAGGCCTTATGGCATTATGAACCTAAACTGAACACTTTTGTATGAAATCCTTGTCAGCAGGTACAGAGAAGGTGTAAAACATGGGGAGGCCATGTTTTAACTGCTCTTTGGAAATCACCAACAAGTTGTTAATGCAAAGGTAGAAACTCTTAAATGCTTGAATGAGTCATATGTTAGTGGGAAATGCCTTAACACGCACACATCAGACTTTAAAACATGAAGTGATATCCTGTGTCTCGATGTGATTATTAGTCATAAGATGATGTGATTAGTAAACTGGAAATGTGTTAATATTTATTTTTCCATCTATCACTCTATGGTTTATTGTTTAGTATTTAGATTTGTACAAACTCAGAATACTTGCAGTTACGGTCAACATTTCTTTGCTGATATGTCACCAGGATGACTGCTGAGGGCCAGTGTCAGGTTTGTTTTAAAATAGCTCCATCTTTTGGTGTGCCATACTCATTACATTAGTACTGTACATGTGGAAATCTCCCCATCTGTAGATATCAGATGAATATGATGGAAGATATTGGTAATATAATTTAAAAAAATTGAATAAAGTTTGTGTTGAATAAACTTGCTATTTTTAAGATGGGGAAAATATTTGACAGCCTCATTTTTAACTTTGAAATAGAAAGCACTTCAGACAAAAGAAGAAATGAAACTTTATATTTATTCCATTGTTGAAAAATAAAGTCACGGTTATGAGTGATGGGATGTGAGATGGGACATTTTTCACAGAAAAGGAGAAGGAAAATGTTAAACATATGACTCGTAACTTTTTAGAAAACATCCTTTTGTTTGTATTCGATATAAAGTATTACAAAAAATTTAAATGGTTGTAAAAACTGAGAAATGGAGACAGACAGTTATCAAGTATAGTAACGCTGGTCATCACAAGTTTGTAGAAATGTGTTTTAAATAAGTGTTATTGTAAGAAAAACAATACAATGCATCTTTGTTAAGTTATTGTAAAAATACAGACCAACATTTTTTTATGGCTATAATAGAGAATAAGAAGAATTAACACTTACAAAAAGTGTCAGAGTAGCCAAGTAAAAGTTGCTCATAGTAAGAAATCGGAAAGCAAATAAGTCTATATAAATTCTTATTAGCATTAGGGATTTTATGTGCAGGGGCATGCACCACGTAAAAAAGACAAGGACGCATGGTGCCTCAGTTGTATAACACATGGAAATAAAGGTTTATATGAAGGGTGAAGGATCAGTACCATCACACATTTGCAGCTCCAGGTGTGATGTGATGCCAGGGAACTGTTCTTGCAGTGGCAGTAAATAGCCCAAGGCCTCTCCTTGAGTTACCGGGCCGGAGTAACGATAAGGACGGATGTTGAAGATCTTCACGCAGTGTACTAAATGGGACCAAAACAAATATAAATCAATTATTTTGTGGGCATTAATTCCTTAATATCACCCTTAAAAAAATGCTCAGACAAATCAATGACTTAAGCTAACTCAGCTGAATAAAGTGCTTATTGACTACACACCAAAGAGTTTGAGTTTACTGTTTTATAACTTGCTATCAATCACATGTAAATCATATGAAACTGATGAGGAAAATGCTCTGTATGAATGTGACGGCCTCATTTTGAGCTTGTTAACTCTAGTTATTTGTAGAGTTTGCTTCCTTAATGTTTTCCAGCAGTCTGATCCAGAAATTGAGAGCAAAATGGCTGTATTTCCAGTTTTTCTCTGTGAGGAGTATTGGATATCTGACAGATGGGTGTGGGGGATAAGAGTGTGAGTCTGGCTTTTTGATTTTATATAAGTGAGAGCATTTTTAAATCAAGTCTGTAGAATTGGGAAGCCAGTGTAGCTCTAATAAAACTAGTGCCCTCTGTTATGCATTTTAGTTACTAAGCTTGCAACAGAATTCTGATTAAGTTGCAGACCAGAAAAAAAGTGCATTGTAGTAATCCAAACTAAAAGAGATGAGTGCATGAACAAGTTTTTCGGACTGAGCAAAGGGTGGATTTTGGCAATATTCCCAAGATGGAAGAAGGTTGGCTTGGTAATAAGCTCGTGCCTGAAACTCCAAGACTTTCAACTTGTGGTTTTACCCTGTTAGCTTATTTCCCTAGTTTGGCTGAAGGATATAACTGTGGTAAGGTGGGTTTAGCATTCACTTTATCGTTGGCATATGAATAGTTCACTTGTGCAGCTAAAATCCTCTTCCAGCGTTTACAAATGTTACAAATGCAGGCTCAAGACCCTAAAAAAAACCTTAGATCTCGCCTTTACCATCCACCTAAACAAGCCGGCTGCCAACCTAGAAACAAACAACCTAAAAGTAGTTCTACAGCAAACTCACCAACATCATTAAATCTTAAAAGCACTTAATGATCAGTGTCTCAGCATTAATGTGGGCATCACGGTGAGGTAATGTGTCTCTGTGATGTCTAATCATGTCTGTGCTTTACCCGGAGATGAAAGGAGCTGACAGTACATGTGTTCTTCTGATAATACACTTCAATTATAAGGTGAGAGGCAGAATGAGGACTAATGATGTTTACTCATCATTCCAGCACCTTATCAGCTCAGGATGGTCTCAAAACACATTACCACGCATGAGCACATATACACATACAAATAGGTATACACCGCAAAGGAATACATGGGTATTTTAGGCACATACACAGATGCATTCCCTTTTTTCTCTAATGATGGCCCTTATGGGGGGTCATTACTCATGAACAGCCTTTAGTGGGGTTTCACATAGACCCCGATCTTAGGGGCTATCAGGAGGTCAATGCAGTCTCCGCTCGCGTTTCAGCACCTTAACTAATCCCTTTAAATCATTCCTTTTCATTCTCATGCAATGCCTCTACCATAATAGCATGGCCTCGCCTTTGCCCTAGCCATGGAACTATACAGTAGATTAAAGGAATTCACAGGCAACACTACAAGGTTACAAGGATTTAATTAAACCTGGTTTATGCTTATTTTCAGTTATAAAAATATCTCAATGGACTTCTAAATTGAATTTTTTAGAAATTGAAACAGACTTGCACACCGACTTATGGCCATACTAACAACATGGGTCTTTGAATGATATTCTGGTAGGCCATTTGACTGGTCTGCCACTTTGGTTCCAACTGAAATATTTAGACAAGTACTGGATGATTTGACGTATGTTTGGGTACAGCTATTCATGCAGTCACTGATTCATCCTAATGATGTGCTAAATATCTACTGAAATAGGTCTTTATCTGGTACAGGAATCGGTAAAGACCTGCAAAGTCTTTGTCCTGTTTATTTTGATTGAGACTCACATCTACAGTTTTAAAAACACTGTAATTTTCCTTGCTTTGCTAACTTTCAGGTATTGTGCTAGCATCTTGTCCCTCTTACCATCACTGAGGAGTTTGACTCCATCAAACTGATAACCAGCTGGGTCTTTCCGACTCACTGGACCGGCCAGAGAGCCTGAAAATATTGTGTTGATGATCGAATAGTCATCACATACAAGGTCCACTGCTTTATAAAGGCCATTACCTCTGTAAAAAGACATGTGACAGAGGAGACTGGCATTAGTTTGCCATCAGAAAAGGCTAGATTCAATTAGTCATCTTAATCTGGCCAGAACAAAAATGTCTGATTAGTTATTTGGACATCATCTTTGTCTACAGAAAGTCAGCCTTCTACCCAGACAAAGCTTCACTCATCATTAATTCCAAGTGGTTTGGTAAAAATGTGCTTTGTCATTGTAGGGATCAGGCTTGGATACTATACAAAACTAGACATGGGGCAGTGTCAGCGTCTGCATGTTGCAGTATGAGTAATCCTCTGTGGGCTCTGAGATAAAGATCTGATCAGGATTAGTCACCTTTGGGAGTTAAAAGCTCCACAGCCGTACGCATCACAAGCCCTCACTCTGTTGTGGTGACCGGCACAAAGCATGCTCCAGGCTTGGACTACAGAGAGAGGTAAAATGAAATAGGTTAGATAATACTTCTCCTTCCAAAATAGGCACCATATTAAAAGCTGCAGCACTGCACGCCAAAAGGCCAAGCATAAAGACGATATTTTTAAAAATATGTTTTAACATCCACTGACTGTGACTCATGCTCTATTCATGTGGAAATAAGGCCAATTACAGCAGAAAGGCACTATTCAAATGTCATTTACTGATGTCTTCTCCATCAGTTTTGTGTTACCCACACATACAGCCTCACTCCCACAATAACGTTTTCATGAGTCAGACTTGAAAAAAACTCTGCAAATCCATTTTAATTCCTTCTTGGCAGAAAAAAAGAATGAGCTGTGTGTTTGTGACCATCTGAAGAAGTTTGCAGGAGGTTTGTGTTATTGTAACATTTCGATATGGGCAGATGCATATTTCTATCATACCTGGCATGCAGCACTGGCGCGTCTTGGCCCCTGAACACTTGTCTTTGAGGTATCGGTCTTGGCAGATGTAACGGACTGGCTGGCAGATGCCTCCCAATCTAGTGCAGCTGATGTCACTTCTAGGTCCCATGAACACTCTCTTGCTTCCTGATTTGACTTTCTTTCCTGGAGTCACAGCCTTTGGCCTCCTGTCATTAGAACTTGTGAAATTTCCCTTCACCTTGAGTCTGCTGCTGTTCTTGTCAGGGCTTTGAATTTGTTCCTTTTTTCTCTCTCCATGTTCTAAAGCGCCACTTAACACCACATCTTGGGAGAGATGAAATGAAATGAGAGTTAGAGTTAAGAGTGTAATGGAGAAAGGATTAAAAAAGAGAATGGCTAGAAAATTTCCAGGTTGAAGGATTAAATCAAACTTTTCTGAGACTGATATTTGGAATGAGTTATGCAGTATTTGGAATATGAAGCAGCAGATTTTCTTTCTGTTCAGTTAATACCACTTACAGTCTGTGAAAAAGTATATGCTCCCTTCCTGATTTCTACTTTTTTTTTTTTTGCATTTTTGCTACATCCATTTGCATCTGCTTATCCAATTCAGAGTCGCTCAAAACTCATAATTGCAATATAGACCGGGGCTGCAAAGTATCTCAAGCTGGAGTCCACGGTGTCACCAAAACTGCCTAAAGTATGCCTCACCTCCAAATCTCTCTCCTCAGTCTGAACCACCTAACCTATAATCTGTTCCTGAAGTGTACCATGATTTAGCAGAAGTGTTCGGAAACGATCCAGCTTTCTTTCTCCCTCCTCACCATCCTTTTGATTGTTTTACAGATTTACTTCCAGAAGCCTCACTGCCCACTAGTTGACTCTACAGTTTAACTAAACTAGAATGTGAAGCAATGGAAAAGTACATCATGGACTCTCTTGTAGATGGAAGTATTCATCCGTCTTCTTCTCCTTTTGGCGCATGCTTCCTCTTTGTCGAGAAGAAAGAGAAAACTCTCCATTCTTGCATTGATTTCAGAGATTTGCACAAAATAAGTACCATTACTGCTCCTTTTATCTGCCTTTGAACTCCTGCAGTGGGCTACAGTTTTTTTTTCCAAGCTGGATCTCCATAATGCATAACATCTGTTGTCAGTGTTGGGGAGTAACGGAATACATGTACCGCCGTTACGTATTTAGAATACAAAATATGAGTAACTGTATTCCGTTACAGTTACCGTTTAAAAAGGTGGTATTCAGAATACAGTTACTTTGTTGAAATAAATGGATTACACTGCGGTACTTTCCTGTTTCATTTTGTCGCGGGTCAGGACTGTTTGGGTTTTGTTTGACAGCTACGTTCTTTCGTTCCAGGCGGCAGCGTTACGGTTGCCATGGTTACAGGGCGACGCTCTCTCTCTCTTTCTGCGACTGTGTGTTTCCTGGGTGAGAGAGTGCCTTTTCGTTGTTGTTGTTGTGCTAAGCTAACAGGCAGAATGCTACAAGCATAGCTCTAAAGAATGTAGCATCATGGGCAGTGTAGTCCGTGTTGCAGGGAGAATGGACTGCCATACACTTTATGTGTCTGTGAGCGCGAGGAGGGAGAAAAAGGCGAGTGGAAAGGTACGAGTTGTCGTCGAGGAAAAACGGGAGCTGGAAGCATGTAAATATAATAATAACCACTGCAGCCAAGAAGAGTGCCTGACGAGCCCAGTTGTAAGTACGCTATTAAGACTCGACTGTACACCGTGTTCGTGTTTTCCTCCGAAAACAATAAGTTCCGTTGGAGCAGTCTTTCAACGCCTCTCTCTGTCTCTCGCAAGAAAAATTGACCCACGCAACAAAGTAAAGCTATTTTTCGGCTATGAGCCGACAGGGACCCCGCCGTATTAGTCAGAGGTCCCTTTACTACAGTTCGGAGTCGCGGACCTTCAGTAATAGTAATAAATCACACAGCAATAGTACATTCACGTTGTTGTAAAAAGCACGATAATATATTAAGTAATCCAAAGTATTCAGAATACGTTACTCTCATTGAGTAACGTAACGGAATACGTTACAGAATACATTTTGGGGCATGTATTCTGTATTCTGTAACGGAATACATTTTAAAAGTAACCTTCCCAACACTGTCTGTTGTGCATTAAGGAAAACAGCCTTCAGTACTCACCTGTGACACTTCTTATACCTGGTAATGCCCTTTGGTCTTACCAATGGTCCTACTGTTTTCCAAATGCTTGTCAATGACATTCTCTGTGACTTTCTGAAATGTGATTTTCTTTGTTTTATTCTTGTTTACCTGGATGACAATTTGATTTTTAAAGTCCATCTCAGAACACTGTAAGTCCAGCAGCTCCTCCAATGCCTTCTGGAGAAGCTGTATGTTAATGGAGAGAAGAGCTCTAATGCTTTTTGAATGTTGCCACTCTATCCATGACCTAAGGAAAACCTCCTTGTCTATTACTGACTTCTCCAAAGTTTGCCTTCCAGTGAAACTCTTTGCCATGGCCTTGTTCTTATTCAACCAGACCCATCTCAGCAGTTCATTGTGGAAGTGGACGCGTCAGATTCTGAGGTAGGAGTTGTCTTATTTCAACAGAAAAATGGCAAAATTCACTCAGTGCATTGTTGGCGCCCATGAACTGCTGGCCATCAAGTTAGTCCTCAAAGAACGGAGACACTGGATGGAGCAAGCTGAGCATCTCTTTGTTGTATTTACCGACCATGACAACCCCCATTACCTTCAGACCACCAAACATCTAAACTTTTGCTTTTTACCAGATTCAGCCTAACCATCACTTACAGACCTGGCTCCCATAATTTAAAGCCTGACACAATGTCCCATTAATTCTCCACCTCTGATTCCACCTCAGAGAATAAAACCATCCTTCCACTTATTTGCATCATCAGTTCCTTGGCTTGGGAAATAAAGTCTCTCTTAGGGAATGCTTAGCGGGAAATAAGTCCTCCAGCTCCCCACCTTCCCCTCTTCTTCAGACTCCCATTCACCCTCGGTCCCACCTGTAGTCCCATCTGACTACTGCCCAGATTAAATCCACAATGTCTTTCACATCACTTCACAGCTCAAACCTGTTCGGTCCAATCCACTGTTTTGTACCTTTGTCTAATATTAAAATTTGCTTGATGATACGAAACACATAAGAGTGACAACTATGGCAAAAAAAGAAGAAATCATGAAGGGGGATAAATACTTTTTCACTGGACTGTTTATTTATATTACAACTAGATTTAGATATTAGGGATACCAGTTACATTCTGTCATACTTCACATAGATGTTTGCTTCAAAATGACCCCACAAAAAAACACTATTTTAAAAGGATCACCTTCAAAATTGCAGTTTTTAGGTATTAAGGGAAAAACTTTTCTTGCATTTTCTTGATTAGTTAATAAAGTCACCAAGTAAGTCTTAACACACTGTAGGACGCCTTTTTTCAGGGTTGAATGGTGTTACTTGTCTATATAGACAGACAGAGTCATAGTTCAGTTATTCATAGTATGTTTAATTCTGACAGCATACTAATTATCCTGCCCAGGCATGAGTCTTTGATCTTCATTAACCTCAGAAGCACATAAAATATTTCAATCACACTGCCCTGGCACAAGAACACACATTGGGCTCAGTGATTGAAAGAAGCTGCTTATCACTAGAAGGCCTTAATGAGTGGGCAGAATGGTTGTGGCTGTGGCATGGAAAAGCAATTTTCCTCAGCATGTGAACTAAATTAGAAAAGACCAAATTTTTTTGACATGTGCAAGTGTGCCTTTTGCCTCAGCAAAATTAGATAGCATTAAAGGTTTGCTGCAGTTTTACTAAATGTTTGTTTATGTATTGCCAGGCTTCTACTACATTTTAAAGCAGCTGCAGTGTTAGGCTGTTAACAGTTAAGGTACTAACAGTTAACCTGAAGAGATGAACACATGCAAAGACAGACACAGCACTGATTGGCAAGCACATTTCCATTAACTCCACTTGACTGGATACCTCTCATGGAACTGCAGGGTTGTGTCCACTGTGGTGCACGAATCATTTTCATCTCAGTAGAAAGATGGCTGTCTCATTTTCATGTCGCTCAGCAATCCCCCAGAGTTACTGTGCCTTAAGCTTTTTAGTTAGATGCAATGATGTAATGTTGCATTAAGCACTCAGTCATGCTTTAAATGTGTCATCCACTTGCGCCAACTCATAGTCTCTCTGGCAATGGGCTCGAACCCCCCAAGGTTCATGTTTACAGGAGTTTACAGTCTCCTAATAGGGCTCAGTTCATGGTAATTTGCAGGGCCAAGCAGATGTTTATGCACCATTTATTGTTTCCATAATGGGAATCTTATTACACTGCTGAATGAAAATTTGTGTCCTATGTACCCTAATGCATACTTTTAGCATGTGGATTCAAGTATTTTGTGGGAATGCACGTGTCCATTTCTGTATGATCTACTTAATACAATTACTATTTTTCTGCACTGACTGACTCTTTTAATCTTACCCAGTGGGTAAATGAACCTACTCATGTTAAGGGTCACACCCTTGATCTGGTTTTTTCATTTAACGTGGATATATGCATTAAGGAAATTAGAAATACTGGACTTTCTGATCATTCCCCGGTCATCTTTGACGTTGACCTGGGTATCACTGACCCTTACTTGGAGGTTCCTCTCCATCCTACTCGGACTATTAACGCTGATACTGTGGTCAACTTCTCTACATCTTTTGTTAATTCTTCATTTAATATGTCGGACTGTTTTATCCCACACACACTTGAGAATTTTACCAATACTTTTTTAACTACATGTTCCTCGATTCTTAACACTATTGCACCTATCAAACACAAACGCCCCAGAACCTACTCGCAATGCTGGTTAAACGACTCTGTCCGTGTTCTACGGCGTTTGTGCAGGCGCGATGAGAGGAGGTGGAGGAATGATAGACTCCAGTCATCATATGACATTTTACGTATTAGCCGCTCGAAATTCCAATCTGCTGCCAGAATGGCTAAAGCAGCCTTCTTCGCTAAGATTATTACTTCTAATGGTGACAATCCTCGCATCCTATTTAAAAATTTTAACTCAGTGGTGAATCCTCGTCCCTCAATGCCACTCTCGTGCTCCCCAGGTCTCTGTGAAAAATTTTCAAACTACTTTCTAGATAAAGTTTTATCTCTTAGATCTACGCTTCCTTTGGTGGCTGACAGTATGTCTAATTCTGACTGTTCTGCTGCCTTACATCAATTTGAATTAATTTCACTTCCTACTCTGAAGCGTATAACTGAGAAACTAAACAATACTAATTGTGTACATGATGTTCTTCCATCTCGTATAGTCAAGGATTGTTTTAATGTAATTGGACCCTGTCTATTGTCTATATTGAACCTCTCCTTGCTTTCTGGTTATGTACCTTCAGTTCTTAAACATGCTTTTATTCAACCCGTTTTAAAGAAAAATAACCTGGATCATAGTGATTTTGCCAACTATAGACCGATTTCCAAGCTTCCTTTCTTGGCTAAAATCCTTGAGAAGGTGGTTCTACTTCAACTGCAGACCTACCTGGACGAGAATAATATAAATGATAAATTCCAATCAGCCTTTAAACAACATCATAGCACTGAATCAGCGCTGCTTCGTGTTTTTAATGATCTTTTACTTATGGCTGATAATGGTCGTCCTTCTGTTTTAGTTCTATTGGATCTTTCATCTGCATTTGATATGGTTGACCATAACATCCTAGTCGCAAGATTAGAGCACTCTGTTGGCATAAAGGGCACTGCCTTGGACTGGTTCAAATCTTACCTCTCCAATCGGCTTTCTTCGGTACATCTGGCCTCATCTTCCTCTTCCCCTGTACCTGTTTGCTGTGGTGTCCCCCAGGGTTCTGTGTTAGGCCCGACCCTTTTCTCACTGTATATGCTTCCTTTAAGCGCTATCTTTGAGAAATACCACATTGCTTTTCACTATTATGCGGATGACATCCAGATTTATTTTGAGTTACATGATGATCTCGCTTTATCTTTAAATAACTTTCGTGAGTGCATGAGTGAGGTCAAGAAATGGCTGTTGGCAAATACTCTTATTCTCAATGAAAAAAAGACTGAAATCATGATTTTTGGCAGTAATGCCCTTCGCGCCAAACTTCAAGATGCCTTTGGCTTTCTTACTAGTTCTTTCTCTGATACTGTCAGGAATCTGGGTGTCTTGTTTGACAGCTCCTTTAAACTTGATAAACAGGTGTCTGCTGTTGTCAGATCTAGTTTTTATCAGCTTCGTCTCATCTCCAGGGCCAGACACTATATCCCGTATAATGACTTAGAAAAGCTCATTCATGCTTTTGTAACGTCAAGACTAGATTACTGTAACTCACTCTATTCTGGTCTCCATGTTACCCTTCTACATAGATTACAGACAGTTCAGAATGCTGCGGCACGTATTCTAACTAAAACCAAGAAGTTTGACCATATTACTCCGGTTCTTGCTGAGCTGCATTGGCTGCCTATCAAATACCGTATTCAATTTAAAATTTTGCTGCTTACTTTTAAAATTATCAATAATACTGCACCAACCTATCTTAAGGAACTTTTAAACCCTTATGTCCCTGCCAGGGCTTTAAGGCCATCCTCGCAGTTATTGTTAGTTCAGCCCAGATCTCGGTTGAAATCTAGAGGCGATCGATCGTTTGCCTTTGCTGCACCTGAGTTATGGAACAGCCTCCCGATTGGCATTCGGGAGTCTGATTCTATTTTTTCTTTTAAAGCACGCCTTAAAACTTATCTTTTTGAACTTGCCTTTTCTACCCGTTAAATGCTGACTGTTAACTGCGACCTATTGCATTAACTTTTTACTATTCCTTTATTAGTAAAGGAATAGTATTCCTTTATTCTTGGTGTTCTCTATCATGTGCTGCAGTCCATTTTATTAGTGGCTTTCTACTGTGAACATTGTCTGCTGTTCTTATTATATTTGATATTAATGCTCTTAACTGTATTATTTTATTGTTTTTTTGTAAAGCACTTTGGTATGCCTAGGCTTTTAATGTGCTCTATAAATAAAGGTTGTTGTTGTTGTTGTAATATATCCCAGACATATTCCATACACTATGATGCACGCTAGAATAGTGTGCATTTTGCAGGTGGCAATTTTATACGAAAGTGACTTACGTACAGCATAATAAGAGCGCAGATATGACACAGATCCTAAACAGTCTTCCCATCATCAGGTCAGAAAAAAAAAACTCTGTAGAATGATGAATGAACAACAGAAAATGTTTTTAATCTAATCAAACAAGTGTCCGATAAATGTAATCTTTGTATCAATATCAACTATCTGGCTAAATCCTTCAATAAAAAAAGTTAAAAATATAGCTTGGGTTTTGGTTTTTTTAAAATATAATACTAGGAAATCTGTCTCAAATCTCAAAGGAACACACGGAAATGATGGAATAATACTGAGACTTTTTAGAGATAGAAAATTGAACTAGACTTACCAGTCATGTGCAGATGCTGAAGAGTGGCTCCCAGCTCAGTGGGAAGGAACACAAAGAAGGGACTGTTGGAAAACCAGCCTGCTGTGGAAGCTACACGCCTGAGCCACAGGACATCCCCCAACTGTCAATATTGACATTGGCTGCTAGAAAGCATACCCTTTTACTGGCTCAAAAAGCTCAAGTTTACTTACTTTCTACTGCTACACTAAAAGCTAAAGATTAGGACACACACACACACACACACACACACACACACACACACACACACACACACACACACACACACACACACAGCTTGGCTTCAGTAAACATTAAATCTACTTGAGAACTTTCAGTTAAAAACTCGTTTTATGTATTAGACAGTAAATAGTAACTTGGGAAAAGCACCAGCTGTTATGGCTAATCTAAATATACAACAGGTGATATAACAATGAAATGCTTATAATATTTAAAAAATGTTGTTTTAAAGTTCTTTTTATTGTCTCCAAGAAATAAAGTTTATACTGTTTTGCCAATTTCACAGTAGTGGGAACAACCGCTGGCACTATTAGGTTATGCATAGTTGCACTGAACTCTGACTCCTAGCATGGCTCCAATTACACCCCTCCAATAAACTCATTAGTATATGTGGTGCAGTCAGCAGGTGCTTGACTGTTGTGTCAAGCTTAATGAGACAACAACAACGAAGAAAAAAGAAAAAAAGGAGAAAGAAAAATTATTATATTCATACCGTGAGACTGGCATCTTTCATTGCATAATTTGCCTCCGCGAGGCAATGGAAGTTAATCAATGATGAATTTCTTCCTCTCCCTCCGGGAGAGTGAAAAAGACGTACATGGATGAATGATGGATGGATAAACACGTGAATGTAGGCTATTTTAGACATTGCTTTGTGCAGAATAGAGAATGGGAAAGCCAGAGATGAGAAAAAAGGGTTTAATTGAGGTTACACACATTGTATTCTAGCCAAAGAAAGGAGCTAAGTGTTCTGTCTTGAGTAACTGGGAATGCCCAAAATGTGGTTACTGCACTTACAAAAACTAATAAAAGCCCTCAGAATAGGCCTTGCTGTGATGAATTTAGAGTTGATTCATAATAAATAATTAGTAATTGAGTTAACAGATGTACAACTCAAACATCTGTTTAAATGAGTCACAGAGATAAATGTGTGGTTCTTTCGTTGCAGCAACCAATCAAAATTAATTTCAAAAATGAAGGGCTATATCTCTGTATGTACGTCCAAGTGTATTTTTCTCTACTGATGTATTGTGGTCAGCTGGTTGCTCTCTCTGAATTTACAATTTACTGAGAGCAGAGGAATGGATTCAATAGCAGCCGGTAAAGAGTTGAGCCTTTTGCAGCCAGACAGCTTTGATAATCAAATATCTGGGCAGAGGATTACACTGATAGACCATATGGCTTGGAATTTGAAAAAGAAGAGAGGGAATTAGGGAGACTAATAAAAGACAAGGGAACAGAAAAGGAGAGAATAATTAGAGCTGAAGTGGTAGTGCTCAAGACTGAGCGAGTGAGGGAGGGAACAAGTGAAAAAAAACACAGGGAAGTGAGAGAAATAGCAAAGACAGTCGACTGGGCAAATAGAAAATGAGAATGAAGCAGCAGAAATTCCAGCTAGCCTATCTGCATCTCAAACATGAAAGAAAGGCTGGTGTTGACTCAGTGAAAACCCTTTGATAAACATGGCTGCTTAAATAAAAACATGTATCACATTCTTCAAACTCCTGGGAGGACAGAACTGACATTTCACTCCTGCTTCTCTGTCAGTTAGTTCTGGCATTTCAAGGAGACAGAGAAGAGATGCCACAAGTGTTTCCTAGCAACAGTTCGCTGCAAAACCCTTCTCCTCCTCCTCCTCCCCACGTTCTCTCCTCCGCTCGCCTCCCCCTAGAACTCCCTCCATCCCTGAGATACGAGTTGCAGCAATGCAGCACTTGCTTTAGACCTGAAATACATTCTAATTCTCCTGACCCTCCCTCCCTCTCCCTCCAGTTCCCTTCAGCACGCTGCCAGGCCTGCATCAAATGACATTCAGGCCGCTGTCATCTGTAAAGAAAAAGCATACAGCCAGGCTATTCCCTGTGAAGGTTGAAGGCACTGCAACTGAGAAGTGTTGGCAGACAAAGTACTAAAAGAATGCAGCAATATTTTACCTTTTACACGGTGAGCGGTTAATGTGCATGAGCCTGACTCTTACTCTTTCATTTGATTTCTTTAGCACCTCTTTGCTGCTTAGGTAGAAAGAACATCTCACAAAAGCAGGCTTGTGAAAAGACTCTGTGGTCTGTTTATGGCCTGGAACAGCTTTGAGGGTCTAAATCAGCTTTCGCAACACAGCGGCCCAGTCACACCAACTTGGCTCTGTCGATTTGTAAACATATTCATGGGACTTGGGGAGCGGGTATTTAGCCAGCCTGAGCAGACAAACAGAGCGCTGTAGGGTGTGGGATAAACTTGATGGTGCTGGTGGCAGCAGACAGGGGGCACCAAAGTCTTAATAATTTGTTCTATTAAAAGCATTTCCTATGTTTGAAAGGGCATTGAACTGAAGTCTGCCCATATCTGTAGGGAACAAACCAACAGCATTTAGCCAGACAGGACATTTCAGCATATACAGATGTCCATCTATGTTTTTCATCTGTCTTGTGAATTTTCACAAGCCGTAACAAGCAGTGAGACAATGGAGCAAGAGACTGAATGTGACTGAAATCTTAAGCCTCGGCTACCTCAAAGGTGCGTCCTTACATCATATGGTTGCAGTGTTATTCTACAAATGTAATCATATAATGCGGTGTATGCACAGAGCCTGTGGGACACTACACTACACCATATGGTTGCAAAAATCTTATCAAAGTACAGTGGAAGGAGCCATAGACTCTTTAAAAACTCACCAGCGTCTGTCTGTCTCTTTATTTTCTAATGAAGCTGTCTGGTGAAGTAAAAATTTACCAAAAGGTAGCCATGTAGTAGCACTTGTGCTGAAACAAATAGTCAGTTGACACCTAAATTTACTTCATGTTGCTTCAAAACCTTCATTCTCAGAGAACTAACACAGCCCGTGACACAGCAAATAAAAGATGTGAAGGACAGAAAAGTTGAAGTCACAGATGACAAAGTAAAACTAGCTCACTGGCGAGGAAGGGAAAGCTCAAAGGCTCAGACTGGAGCCTTTGAACTGTGCATGAGTGGACACAACAACAGAATGTGATAGGCCAAGAGGATGGACGTCTCACAGGCCACGTCCAGCGACGTATGCATCAAGACACGGTTCTGTGATTGATAGATCATTGCGGAGGAGGGAGAGAATATCAGGCACAGCAAGAAAGATGTCTGAATCACATCCCTTTGCTTTGATCGGGAAGAAGGCAACGGTAGGCAGCACAAGATGGGGCCGAGTAGGAAAAAAATGAATGAAGAGAGAGCAAAAAAAACCTGGAAGTCAGTCTCTCATTATCTGATCCCAGCTGGGGACTAAAAAAAGGAGAGATTTCTTAGAGAGAGTTAATCAAACTCTCTCTAAGAAATCTCTCCTTTTATATAAAACTTTCCAAGACTTGCACCGGCTGAAAACAGCCATGCAGGAAGAGCAATCACACAACCCTCACAAATTTCGTGTTCGGCACTTAGCAGTACTTAGAAATTCTATTTCAAAAAGAAATTGAGAAACATATTGTGTTTATGAGAAAGCAGATCCCAGGTGTTAAATGTGGCAGACACAGACAGAGAAGCCACTGGGTCGATTAGCCTGCTCTGTGAGGTTGCATTGATGAGCAGACAGCCCAGATAACCCTTATTTTCACGTCCAATATTGTTGTTCCAAACTTGCATAGGTGAAATTGATTTGTGTAAGTGAGGACAATACATTTCAAGTAAGTTCCTATCTAATGCCTGCTCTCATCTAAACAACATCTCACTTGAAGTCTGTTCATTAAGAGGTACCTAATTACGCCCACATTATCTATAATTACAGTATTTTTACATCACGCTTCCAAGATAAAACTCCTTTAATGTAGCTTCAGTGTATAATTAGCATTAGTAGGCTCCTACTGCACACATAATTAGAGAGAAATTGATACTAATACACCTGTGTAACAGGGCAAAGGGAAAAAAAGTACTATTGTATCCCCAAGTTGCAACATAAACCATTTCACAGATATGATGGTTGCAAGACAATGTGTGTCTGTGAATATTATACACTGAAACCCTGTTGGGATAATACTCTGTTTTAAAAGAGAGATGTGATATTAAGAAAGCCGTCCCATCATGTATCAGTGAAAAACAAAAAATCTATGGAAAAATGTGTTGTTGGGCTCATGCAGTAAATGCTTAAAGAGATGCAG